ACAGTCTCAATGGTGCTACGGTAGTAGGACAGAAGTAAATGCTGTGATAAATTTAACTTCCCGAGCATTCTCAGGAAATACAGCCTCTTCTGTGCCTTCTTTATTAGCATGTTGGCATTTATAGTCCATGAGAGGTCCTCTGAGATGTAAGTGCCCAGAAATTTAAAACTACCAACTCTCTCCACTTCCTCACCGTTTATGTACAGTGGTAAATGTACATTTCTCTTCCTCCTAAAATCAATTATGAGTTCTTTAGTTTTTTTGATGTTAAGTGTGAGATGATTTTCTTTACACCATAGTATCAATCTTTGTACTTCCTTTCTATAAGCAGACTCATTGTTCTTATTTATGAGTCCCACCACTGTCGTATCATCCGCAAATTTAATAATTGCATTGGTGTTATATAGTGGGGTGCAATCATGTGTGTACAGGGAATAGAGGAAGGGACTTAGCACGCAGCCCTGGGGAGCTCCTGTACTTAGTACCAGGGTAGAAGAATGGTGGGATCCCATCCTTACTGACTGTGGCCTATCTGTCAGAAAATCCTTTATCCACATGCAGATCTCCTGAGGTAATCCCAGGTTGATCATTTTAAAAAACAACCTATTTGGTAGAATGTATAGCCATTCAAACATTATTGGACTTCAGATCCGCTTAACCCTTGTCAACTGAGCCCATGATGAGAAACAGCGGAAGCTGCAGCCCAACAATATCTGGAAGACCACACATTCCCTCCATCCCTGCATTAAATAACATGTCTTGCTGGCCCTAAGGTGTTGTTTAGGGCAAGGCTGGCAGATATCAGCATCATTATTGCTGCCTGAAGTGGTAAGTTTCTTGGTTTACACACTTGTGCTAAATGAGCAAATGTCTGTCCTTGCCATGGCTTGCTGCAGCTTTAGTAATGAGTTGTGAGGAGAACTGATAAGTCGGCATCTGCATAGTTGTGTTTTTTGGACTGTGACTCCCAGAATTCCCAAAGTGCTGCTTGGGGAATTCTGGGAGTTATAGTCTGTGCACAACTGTGCCGAGAATTTGTGTGGTTATAATGGAATAAGGTATGTACATGGTATTGCTTGAACCTATTTCAGCAATTCTTACACAGAAGAGATTATGAAGGGGTACTGACAAGTATTGAGCCTTTCCCAGAAAAAAGTGAACTAGGAAGCTGTAAATTGCAGGGTGTATTGACCAATTTGTCTGCATTCAATGGTGCAAAAATCAACTACCTATGATTTTAAGTTATCTTTCATGTTCAGGTCCAAAGTGAACATGGCAGCACCTCCAGAAAAGTTCAATGTGGAAGAGCATAGGACCATAAACAGGTTCCTGTTTCTCCAAGGGAAAGGTGCGAAGCAGATCCATGATGAAATGTGAAAAACTATGGGTGACAGTGGCCCTTCATATGCAACAGTTAAATATTGAGTTGTCAATTTTAAAACTGACCATTTTGGTGTTGATCTGACTATGCCTGCAAATGTGAAAGCCATCCATGACATGATCATGGAGGACTGTCAAATATTAGCCAAAAGTATTGCTATATATCTGAGAATATCACGCGAGAGAGTTGTTGCCATTATCCACAGCGACTTGGAAATAAGAAAGCTGGCAGCAAAGTGGATCCCCAAACTTTTGACAACTGAACAAAAGAAGAAACGTGTGGAGTCATCGGCTGTTTTGGAACCTTTTGCAAGAAACTAGTCAAATTTCTTGGGCAAACTGGTAACTGGTGATGAGACATGGCTCTACTGTTATGATCCTGAGACAAAGGAACGGTCTAAGGAATGGAGGCACAGTGGCTCCCTCAGGCCAAAGAAGTTCTGAGTGTAAAGGTCGGTGCAGAAGCAAATGGCAACAGTTTCTTTTGGGATAAGAAGGGATTTCTGCTGGTGGACAACCTCCGACAGGATTCAACCATCAATGCAAAATATTACTGTGCTTTATTGATGAAGTTGAGGCAAAACATCAAGGAAAAACCTCGAGGAAAGCTCTCCAAAGGCGTCATCCTGTTGCATGACAATGCCTCGCCACACACTGCAGGTGAAACAATGGCAAAACTGACCTCCTTAGGCTTTCAAGTGATGCCCCATCCACCCTATTCTCTTGACCTGGCTCCTTCTAACTATCATCTGTTCCTCAAAGTCAAAAAACATCTAAAGGGACAACAATTTGGGAGTGTTCTGGAGGCAACTGATGCTGCAAATGAATGGTTATACCAGCAGTCAGAAGAATTTTATTTGGAGGGACTTAAGAAGCTGCAGGGCAGATGTCGCAGGTGCATTGACTTCCTGGGGGAATATGTGGACTAGTGTGGCAGTTACAGCTTCCTAGCTCAATTTTTTCTGGGAAAGGCTCAATGTTTATCACCACCCCCTCGTAACGCACAGGCAGCTGCTCCTTCTCTCTCTCTCTCTCTCTCTCTCTCTCTCTCTCTCTCTGCTTTACTTTGGAGACAAGGAAAAATTCAGAGTTGCTCCTCACCCATCTGAGCAAAGCAAAATAAAGCAAATAGTAATAATATAGTGAGAATAGATGCTGCTGCCAAAAAAAATTGCATGCAAGGAAGGAAATCCCTAATCAGTTAAATAGCTGTACTCTGGAAGAATGATAAACTACTGGCCAAAGTTGTTTCTCCTTTTAGTAAGGTGCAGAGGTGATAGTCTGTGAAAATGATTTCCAGCAAAGTTCTTCTTTCATTAATGTAGTTATTTAAAACTGATTGTTGCTATAAGGAATACAGTATTTGTAGTGTTCTTTTATTGCCCTCTAGTGTTTGTAAAAGGACATTTCATAAGCTGAGTTGTCGCAGTAGCTTCAAGCAGACATCATGAGTGCTTCCATATGGAAGACTGAATGTACAACTGCTGCTCTTTTTTGATTTCCTTTCTACAGAGTGGTGTTGCAGTGTGGTGGTAGAATCCAAACCTTCCCATACTTTGTCTGTTATTCTTCCACATTTCCTCATACTGGAGAAAGTCTTGACTTCTTTTGAAAAGAGCAGAAGAGCAGCCTTAGTGCAATTCTTCCATCCTGCACCTCACCCCAGCCAAGGAGTGTGATTTTTATATGGGCATGACATTTAGGGAGATTGAGTGAATCCTAACCTTATCAGCTCTTCTAGTAGCAGAATTTTTCAGCCTGCAATTGCCAGGATTCTACCTGGAAGGAAGTGGGGTAAAGCAAATAGTCCTTTTTCTTTATGTTTCTCTTCCCTTCTCCCTTCTGCATTCTACCATTCTTCATTTGTTTGACTTCCCACTTCCTAACTAAGAGGCAACTGCTTCTTGTGGCCCTGTCCGTTTGCTCAATGCATGCCAAACAACCCTGAAGTACCTCACACTGAAGGTACTTTGATCCTCTTAGGAAGCAGGACAACCTGACAAGCCCTTTCTCTGCTTGAGCCAGAAACTGGCTCAGAAAGAGAAGGTCTGCCTGGGGACCCATTAGAGTAGTGGTTTGTGGGCTCTTCAACATGCTCATACTGTTTCCTTGCTATTTCTGACTTGGTTTTCCATTCTGGATCCTGACTCTGGGGACCAGAGGCCTGCAAAATGCAAGTGTATCTACAGTTAGTGCTCTCCTCTCTCCCCAATCCAGTTGAAGGGCATAAAAATACTCCTTGTGAGCATATGGGTTTTGTAGTACTTGTTTTTCAGAGTTCCACAGGTGTTTCCACCTTGCTGGAAAGCCAGCTCTGTGGTGTCATTCAGAGGAGAAGAGCCAAGGTCTAGGGTTTAGGGCCTCGATACTTGGCGGAACGCCTACTCCCACCAAGATCTACCCGTGTCACTCGTGCGAGCCAGGAGGTGAGGCTGAGGAGCCTAACGCCGAGGGAGGCCCGGAAGGTAAAGACAAGAAATCGGGCCTTCTCGGCGGTGGCTCCTAGCCTTTGGAACAACCTACCTCCTGAGATTCGCGTGGCACCCTCGCTGGGTATCTTTAAAAATCAACTAAAAACATGGATGTTTCGGCAGGCCTTCCCTCCAGACAATTCCTGATGCCCTCTCCTCTCCCTCTCCTATTGTTTCCTCCCTCTCCTAAGGTTTCTTCTATTTAAATAAACCAAAATCATAGTCTACGGCAAGGCTTGGAATTCTTTCCCATGGTCCTTCCATGGGAAATCTATCCAGCAGGTCAGAGAGTTCAAGTATAAATAAACAAATAAATAAACAAACAAACAAACAAACAAACAAACAAACAAATAAATAAATAAATAAATAAATAAATAAATAAATAAATAAATAAGGTCACATCTCAATAAACACTGAATTCCATTCTAAGCGCTTACCAGCCTGGGAATGGGACACTGGACAGTGGAATGTTACAAGAGGGGTGTGGACTTGTGAACAAAGGACTGTATGCTGATTGGATACCATCAAGAAGCAGAGACTTTAAGTTATAGAAAGGGGGTTAGGTGTGTGTGTGTAAGTTGCAGGAGAAGGAGGTGGGGGTGACAGGTTTAAAGCCTTCCTTGATTGATTAGGAGCAATGGTTACTTAGAATAGCATGGTAATTAAGTAGTACAATCATTAGTTAGTTAATCATGTTATTGTTATATGGAAAAGACTTGCAGGCGCTTAATACTTAGATGCTTGGTATTTAACAGTGCAATTTAGCATCACTGAAATGGCAGACATGTTGGAGGACTTTTTGATGTGGTTATATCCTCCATGCTGATTATCTTGTCCTGTACAGAAATTTATGTGCCAGAATATATCTGAATGTAAGTTACTTAACTGTGGTAGATTGAAGTGATGCTGGAGCTGTCTTATAGACAATTTACATAAACATTATACACATACACACACACACACACACACAGAGAGAGAATTTCAGAACATAACAGCAACAAGTTTACAGAGATCAACAGTGCTTGAAAAAATTTAGAATGTCTCACCAGTCTGTCAAAAATTTCACCAGTCAGAATGAAAGGACTATAGCCTTGCAATTTATATTTAAATTTAAATTAGGCACTTTCTACATAACAATGCATACAAACCCAAAATAAATATATTTTCAGACTTGGGTTGCTTTATTACCTGCATGCCTGTGGCATCATGAAGCTTGTATTTTGAATGTTTTCTTTTGAATGTCCCCAGCAAAACTAAAACTAAAATAAAAAATGCCCGGCCTTGTAAGGAGCTAGGTCATTCCGTTGAAATTGGAAGCAGGGAATCTCCATATTCTCCGGCATGGGACTATACATTCTCCTGCAGAGCCATATCTCTATGTGCTGCTTGAACCCTCTTCTTGGGAGAAGAGGGCTGTTTTTCGATTTGCAATGGGAAGGGGGAGGGGAGGACTGCATAATCAGAGAGAGAGAAAGACCGACTGAGGGTAAGGAAGAGGGAGGGAGCGGTGGCTCATCAAGCAGCGTTACAGTGGGGTCTTGACTTGAGAACTTAATCCGTATTGGAAGGCGGGTCTCAAGTCAAAAAGTCTGTAAGTGAAGTCTCCATTGACCTACAGTGCATTGAAAACCGATTAATCCCGTAACAGGCCGTTTTTGTTCCATTTTGGTTTTTTTCTGGTCTGTAAGTCAAATCTCAGTCTGCAAGTCAAACCTAAATTTTGCGGCCAGAGAAGTCTGTAACTCAAAAAGTCTGTAAGTCAAGCCGTCTGTAAGTCAAGGGTCCACTGTATTTCACTTGTCACAGACGAGTGGAGGAATGGATTTTTCAAGCCGTGGAGATCAGGATCCAGGGGAGGGGCAGCTGTGCCCTCCGGATGTTTTTGAATTGCAGCTCTCCTAACCCCTGACTATTGTCTATACTGGCTGCAACTAATGAAAGTTGTAGATGAAAATATAAGGTTTTAGTTGGCATCTAAAGCTACAAAGACAGATTTTTTGGCTCCTTTTTTCTAAAAGGGCTTTCCATAGTTTATATATCATGATGTCAGAACTGGGAGTCCATGGAACTGTGTATTCTAGTATGAGAATAATCATTTAGTATAGTAGAATTAATTAGAATTTAAATAGAATTAGCATGGAACTTACTGTAAAAGACTTTAATCCAGACAAGAAAGGTCTTTTGTTCCTGATTGATAGTACATGATGTGGGAGAAGGTGATCTGTTAGTTATGCTGAGCATACAGTAAATCCTTTAGCATTATTTAAAATGATTCATCTAGTGTCTTTAATAAATCTAGAACCTAACCAGAAGCTGATGTAGTTGAAAAAGAATTGCCTTAATAAATTCTCTGCCCAGCTCCTATCGGGATGAGAGCAGTAGCATTCTGTGCTAGTTGAAGTGTCAAATTTTCTTCAAGAGTGATCCAGTTCAAGGCTGTTCTATAGTTATCTATGGCTGAAATCCTGCTGTGCAGTTATGCAAATGGCATAACAATTTGGTAGCAAATTGCCATAAGCTATCTCAGTGTGCAACAGATAATGCCTACAGAGATTTCTTAACTTGCGTAAATTTATGTCTAAAAGTTAAAAGGTTAGTTTTCAATGTGTGCAGTATGTCAGTTTAATCAATTGTGAACACCTTCGTTTTTAGGCAGCTACAGCACGCATAAAGAAACTGGAAGAAAACATTGAGGCAGAAAGAGCAGCCCATTTGGAATCAAAATTTAATTCTGAAATAATTCAGGTAAATAGATGACAGATGTTGTATGCAGATGATAAATGCATTCTGGGTTGAGTTTTACTTGAATGATTAGCACATGTTTAATTGTCTAAGATTTAGTACTGTATGCTACTACATAAAATTAAGTTGTTTTGGAATTAATTTACTAAAAACAATTATATTTGACTATTAGCTGATACATGCTTTGTGTAACAAGTTGATTAGCAATATGCAATAACCATGATACACAACACTGTAGTGAAAGCCCACTGATTGATATACATACTTGCATGCCTCCAGTTTCCATCCTGAGCACATCACAAAAATCTGTTGTTTACAGCCAACCCATTAGATACAATCGCAACTCCTCAGACCCACTAGACAGAGACTCCAAACTCAAGGATCTACAAAATTATTTTCTCGGCTTATAATACCCATCCAATATGGTTAATAAACAAATTAATTGGGCACAATGAATACCCAGAGGCTACAGATCCAGAAGAGAAAACAACCAAACACAACTGGTTGTCCCCACAACTGAGACCACTGACACACATCATAAATCATCAGCCCACCCTTGGCAAGAATATTTTGCTCTTGTAAGCTTTTGGTGGCAGGCCTATACTTACAGACACCTCCCCACCCACCCCAATCTCAAACAACTATTGGCACACAGCAAACAACAAAACACTGATAAGAGAGACAGGGACTGAAACCTGCTACAAAGTCACACTTCTGGAAGAAGAAAAAATCCACTACAAAACAAGGCTCCAAAGAGGAACAGCTGAGATAAGGTATACAGTATATGGATGCTGAAGATCTATTTAAAAGAACCAAATATTAATTAAGGGTTCTTATCATTGATTCACACAGTTTACTACTTGTATCAACTTATACTGTTGTTATTCACAGCCTGATAACTTATTCTTTTCCTGACATACCATTGTCACTTTGTACGTTATATGTATCCCACCTGGTCATGGGGCAATCCATAAATATGACAACTAGATAGTCTCACACTTAGGTCTGAAACAGTGGACTCGATCCATGAAAGCTCATGTTAAAACATAGCAGTTATTCTTTGAAATGCCAGAACATTTTTGTCTCTTTTGCGCCCTTGTCTGATAAATAAGTACTGTAATAAGATACAGTTGCAAAAATAAAGGGCATTAAAATTCATCAGCACAATAAGTGTCATTGAAATGGATATGGTGGTTTTCTGCTTGAAAAGTATAGCAGGGCTGCCTTACCATGCTGTGCCCTGAAGTGGATCATGGTACAGGCACAGTGTCACAGGCTGCCATGTTGCAATTGCTGTTAATGCTTCATGTGCAATCCTTCCGGTGGGATTTAGCTGTCACAACAGGTTTCTGGACTGTGTATTCTTTCCCTGCCTTCCCCTCAGTATTCTGTCATGGATTCCCTGTGATCTTTCCTTGCTATAGCTGACTGGTTTCCTGTAATGTCCACACTGTCAGTAAGCATGTTAGCACTAGCCAGGATTGCTCCAAATTCAAGACCTGTAAGCAGGTTCAAACCAGGGTCTCAAGTCCTGGGTCAAGAGTGAAATGTATAAGTGTTAGCCATGGTAAATGACTGCAGAGGCTGGAGAGGGAACCATGATTAAGAAGAAGAAGAATTTATACTAGTAGAAGATGTGAGGGTTTTTCTGACAAGAAGGGTTTTTTAGGTCCTCTGTGCAAGGATAGATTAGACTCCACAGGCTCTTTCCAACATTCAACATTTATTTCCAGTACTTCAAAAAAACTCTGAACATCGACTTTAACACTCAACAACTCTTTCAAACGTACAGGATTGATAAAAGGGTTCTTTTTGTCAGCCTCTTCCCAGGAAACCATTAGTTTCTCCCATCTATGGGTCCACTGATTCTCCATCCAGATCCATTCCCATCCTGGGGGCAGGATCCTTCTTTCCTTCGGCGGCTCCAGTTTCTGCCTTCCCTTCTCTCTCTCTCCCTCCCTCCCTCTCCCTCCCCCCCTCCTATTTCTATCCCTCTCCATTCTATGCTTGATCCACCTCTTCCACCAGTCACTGTCTCCTTTTTTCCCACCTCTTCTAACTGTCTGGCTCCCTTTTCTTCCCCTTGGTTTTCCTCCTCCACTTCTCTAGATGCCTCTTGTTTTTCTTGTTTTTCTTCAGCTCTCACCTTTGCCATTTCCTTCTGGGTTCTTTTGCCCAAGGGAATGGAAAGCGCTCTGGTGGAGATGCTATCAGATCTGCCCCAGGGCTCACAGAAAAGCTGTTGGGAAAACTATGTGTAAAAGAGTAATTGTACAGTGATTTTCCCTTTCTGATTTGCCCTTTATCATATGACTGAGTACATGACTGGGTGTGCAGTTATTTCCCTGACCCTATAAAACAGAGAGGCATAACAGCCAGCCAGTAGCATAGATAAGCTCACTTGCATGATTGCCTACTTACACTGTGTGAATCCAGGGGGTTCTTGACATTGAACGGGGTGAAAGCTGGGAGGAGGTACAAATGTCTGTGTGACATAACTTATTGATACTGTGAAGTTATATCTGTGTGTCAGCATTAATTACTACTAATTTGTAATTAGTGTTTTCTTCTGGTCTATCCACAGCCAAAGAATTGGAAACACTACATGTATTTTGGTCTTGTTTATACAGTAGGACCGCAGTATCCACGGGGGATTGTTTCCAACACACACACCCCAGTTGCTGCAAAACACAGAAGGATTGACCCGCTGTACAGCAGGGCACTCGTATCCATGGGATCAGTATCTTCTGATTTACTTATCCATGGTCTGAAAATGCTTAAAATATTAAAAGAAAAATCCTAAAAAATCTGTTTCTAAAGGTGAAGTTACCAGAATTGGCCACTAGAGGTAGGCCACTAGGATGAGCTGGAGACCATGTCATGTATAGCATTTGAAATCATGTTTGCTATAACCTGCATTTTTCTGTATCTGTGATGGTGGGGTGTTGGAACTGATCCCTGTTACAGTAGGACCCCCATATCCATCAGGGTTTGGTTCAAAGCCCCCCCCATGAATGCTGAAAAGCCCAGATTATAGCAAACATCTTCCTCCCCAAACCAGATACCCTCTCCGCCCTTGCCAAGTATCCAGAATATATAGGGACAAAGCCTCCCCCACCTTCCCTCCAATGCACACAAACCCAACAGTTACCTGAAGGGAGGGCAGAGCACGCAGGGCCGACGTCACTGCCTTAACCTTTGAACCTTTGAACTGCAGAGCTGGAAGGGGCACTATGGATCATCGAGTCTAGTCCCTCTCAAGGAGGCACAATAAGGAATTGAACTCTCAACTTCTGGCTCCACAGCCAGATGCCTAAGTCACCGAGTTACCCAGCAGTTATTTTGGGAGAGCTGCTTATCTGCATGATGAGCTGTTTGCTGGTGTGCTCTCAGGCATCAATGCAAAGCAAGCTGGCTGGAGAGGCCCCTGTCCTGCTTCCCGCCTAATGCTTTTTTTTTAACCTCCAGGTAAACTGGCAGGCAGGAGGAGTCTCCACCGCCGCCTGCTGGGAGAAAGCTTGCAAGAAGAGAGGACAGAGACCATGCTAAGTATTCTTCATAGCATGGTCTCTCTGTCTTCCTCTAGTGGCCAGTTCTGGTAAAACATGTGGATTTTTTCTGCATTTTTTTCTTTCAATACTTCTAATATTTAATTTAATATTTGCAGATTTTGGATAAGTGCCTCAGCGAATACTAATCCCATGGATAAGAAGGTCCTACTGTATATTACATTCCTCTAGTGGCCAGCTCTGGAAAATACATTCTGGAAATGCATATAAATACAGTGGTGCCTTGACTTACAAACGTCCCGAGATATGACCGTTTCGAGTTACGACCAGCTCTGGCTGCAAAATTTTGCTTCTACTTGGGACTGGAGCTTCGAGTTACAACCAGAAAAAGGCAGGGGGGAAAGGCAGGGAATTTAAATTGCTAACCGTTGGTGGTGAAGAGGCTGCTTTTTTGTAGCTCTTTCACCCCAGCAGTTAGAGAGTGTGCGATCGGAGGAGGGTTCAGACTTCCTGGTAAGGTGCTACTTTCTACTTTTTAAAAACACTTCTGGGTGGGTTTCGCAGCGTGGTTTTGGGCTGGGTGGTGGGATTATGTTTCTATGCTGTGGTGGGTCTTGCAGGGTTTGTTTGTTTTTTGGAGGGTTTCCCCCATTTCCCATGGGTCTTGCAGGGTTTGTTTGCTTTTTGCTTTGTTCTTTTTATGTATGTATGTATGTATTTATTTATTTATTTATTTGCATTTCCAATGGGTCTTGTGTGGTTTGTTTGCTTTCTGCTTTGCTTTTTTTATATTTTTTTGCATTTCTGAAGGGTCTTGCATGGTTTCTTTTCTTTTCTTTTTCCCTTCAGCCAGAATGGATTAATCGCATTTCCGATGGGTCTTGCAGTGTTTTTTTGTTTTGTTTTGTTTTTTGTTTGTGATTTTTTTCTTCAGCCGGCATGGATTAGTTGCATTTCAGTACATTCCTATGGGAAATAGTGCTTTGACTTACGACCATTTCGAGTTACGACTGGAGTACCGAAACTAATTAAGTTCATAAGTCGAGGCACCGCTGTAGGTATTTCTTGGCTTTTTTTAATTTAGTATTTTCATCCAGCGGATAAGTAAATCAACAGATACTGATTCCGCAGATAAGGGGCCCTACTGTATATTGCACAGTCTCTGTCTAGATGGGCGAGCCTCCTGCAGCCTTTGAAGTTTGTGGTCCTAACAATCTGTAGGAGCAAAGATATGTGCGCCTCCCTCATGTCCTTTGTCCTTGGTTGAGCACATCCACTCCCTAGTCCACAAGTCTTGCAGGACATTTAGGATCACCTCCACTGAGCCACAGAATGCCAGCAGCAACTTGCCTCACACCTCAGCCCATGACTCTAGCTCATCCTTGTCTTTCTTTGTTCCCTGCTCCCTTCCTACTCTTATCCTTTGCTCCACGCTCTCTGTCCCACCTGCACCTTCCTCTTGCTCCAGGTGTTTATCTTCCCTGTTTTTGCCCAGATGTTCCTTTTCCTTGTCCTTGACAGGCGTGTACTTTTCCCGGAGACACAAAAACAAGTCGGACAGCCTGCCAGTGATGCTGAGAGCAGTCCCTCACAAGACTGATCACTGACTTCTTCTCATTTTCAGCTAAGGATTCGAGATCTTGAAGGAGCTCTGCAAGTGGAGAAGGCCAGCCAAGCAGAAGCATTTTCTGATATGGAAATGATCAAAGCCAAATTTAAAGAGGTAGAAAATGCCTATGAGAGAGAAAAGCATAATGCTCATGAGACCTTAGAGAAACTCACAATGTAAGCTATTTCCTTCATAATTCAGAATTTGCATTTCTTTGGCTATTTGAGAATGAAATAATCACACACCCTGAATATTATGTACCCAAAGCTGAATGTTTACACAGATTTAGCAGTTTGTTAATATCTGTGTATATTTAACATACTCTGTAAATAAGCTTTTAAGCCCCCCCCCATTCAAAGAATAGATCAATATGAGAATTCATCAGTGTGTGTTTATTTCCTCAGAAGGTTAGAGTGCAATCCTTTAGGCAATTTCTTGGATTTAAGACCCATTGAATCCAATAGCACTTATTTTTGAATGTCAAGTTCTGCTGTTTAATCTGTGATTGGAAGATACTTGGATATAAATTACATTTTATCACTTCATTCATTCATTCATTCATTCATTCATTCATTCATTCATTCATTCATTTTACTTATATGCCGCCCACACTACCCAAAGGTCTCTGGGTGGCTTACAACAATTAAAATACAGTAAAAAAGAAAAAAAAATTAAAATACTATTTAAAATATATACTCTAAAATTGCCATCAGGACTCACAGTTGATATTATTTCAATTAAAAGCCTTCTGGAACAGGAAGGTTTTGACCTGGTGCCAAAATGTCATCAGCTTTGGAGCCAGATGAATCTCAATTGGGGTGGCATTCTATAGTCTGGGGGCAGCTGCCGAAAAGGCCCTTTGTCTACAAGCCATCCCTCTTACCTCCTTGAGGGACGGCTCTTTCAAAAGGGCTCCCTGGCTAGATCTTAACTGCCGGGTAGGTTCATATGGAAAGTTCACTTGGGAACTATTTGATTTTTTTTTTTAAATAACCCTTCCCCTCTTGAAATCCTAAACCCCCTTCTTTGGGGATAAAATGCACTGAACTCAGTGAAACAGGCTACTGAATAGATATGTTTAGTAATGTACATTGCTTATGGTTATGTGATAGAGTTCAACAAGTATCCCCTGATGGGCCTGCGAGCAAACACGGGGCCCGAAAGCACACGTGAAAGTCTGGACAGCGAGGAATCAGGAGTTTGCACACGCTAAAATGGGCTGAGGGAATCCTGGAGCTCAGCTAGCCGTGCTACAACCCTCCTTCTTACAAGTCTGCCCTAATAAGAACATCCTTGTACTCTCAGATATTACTGTAAGTAAAACATGTGGGCTTTGTAGTCCTTAGACTTAACTTGCACCACAGGCAGGACTCCTTAAGTATGCTAGGCCGAGGCAGCACTCTCAGATGACCCTAAGACAAGTCTTACTGTTCAGGAAACCAAGTGATTTTTATAATCATTATTTTATTAAAAAAAATAAGCATGTTTCTAGGTATCAAAACAAACTAAGCCAAGGCAAGTAAATACGCATTGTGTTAGTTATTTACAACTCTGTAGTGAGGCAAAGAAAACATGAAAAACAGAAAAGTGTCCAAAAACCTTACAAAAAGCCATTAGAAACAATAAAAACAGTTCCAGTCAATTAATTCATCAGGGAAAATAAAATAGTCCAAACATGTTAGAAAAAGGCTATAGTCCTCAGTGTTCATGTAGAATAAAAATACTGTTTCAAAAAGAAAAATCCAGTAAAAGCCCCATTGTCCTTAGAAAAGAAAAATCCAGTAAATGTCCCATTGTCCTTAGAAAATTACAAGAGCATAGTCCATATGAAGTATTCCAAAAGTAAAAACCCATAGAGAAATAATTCATAGTCTTTAGGAAAAGGTCCATAGGTCCAAGGGTAATCCAGTATAGTATAAGGATCAGTCCATGTAAAGATTGGTCACGATAAACTTCAGGGTTGGTCATGAAAGACATTAGAATGAGTCACGAATGACTGAAGAGTCGGTCTTGAAAGACAATGTCCATAGGCAAAAAGTTCCTTTTTCAAGAGTAACTGGCAAGGGCTTATCGCACCTTCCCACGATATCATCCAATCAGAGTTTGTTACTAGGCAAACAGTCCTGTTGCACCACATGACTTCTTTCCCATACACACCAGATGTTATTTGGGTACTGTGGTTTAGCAAAGAGTCACAACAATACCCATCTATCTTATCTCACAGAGTCCTTTCTCAGGCTCTCAGAATAACATTCTCTCTGCTTGCCTAGAAAACAACCTGTCAGTATAGCATAGATACTTTATACAAAGAAACAAGATGGAACCTCTCTTGCTCATTTCTTAATTACAAACCCCATATTCCTTACAAGATTTTAATTCAAAAACCCATCTCATCACAGGGCCATCTTCAGAAAACAGCGCTTTTAGAAATACTATTGGAAGAAGTACAAACATTACTACAAAAGGATGCTAGACCAGTAAACCAGTATGCAATTTATGAATGGTTCAAGGAGTGTACATCCTGATGTTAAACTTCTACCAACACAATAGCCTTTGCATATGTTTCAGTTAATGTGTTTGAACTAATGACAGCATGAGATCTTTCTTTACTGACTCTTAAGACAGTGTTCTTCATAGTCATAACTTCTGAGAGGAGAGCTAATGAACTTTGCACTGTGTAACACAATCCATAACTCCAGTTTCACAAAGACAAGGTCATGTGTCATCCAAAGTTTGTGTCAAAATTTTATATGATACAGCTGTTGGTATTGCCAGTGCTATATCCCTCACCCCAAACACCTCTGAAAAGATCCTTTCTTTAGATGTTTGCAGGTCTCTGACTTTCTGTCTTTCAAGGACTAAAAATTTTAGAAAGATAACTAAACATAAAGGTCAGCCTGTGTCATCTCAACACTTACTGAAGTGATTCATCGCAGATATTAAATTGGTTTATGACATACCAAAAGTACCATTACCCGTGTCCCTGAGAAATCATTCCATGAGGGCAGTGGCTACATCAACAGCCTTTCTGAGAGGTGTAGGACTTCAAGTTGTTTGTAAAGCTGTAACATGATCTCAGCCAATTAACCCTGCAAAACACTATAGGCTTCCTGTCCGTGGCCAGTGAGATGCTTCCTTCAGCCATGCCGTCCTGTCCTCTGTTCGAACATGTCAGCCCAATAGCCAGAGACCACAAAGAAGGAGGACTGGTTACTTACCTATAGCTTTAGTTCTTTGAGTAGTCATCTGTGAATTCACACAACCATATGCACAATGGTTAGTTGTTAGGCAGCAGACAAAATCATCAAATTTGCCATCTACAGATTCTGTACTCTACCCAGATGTTGTTTTTTGGTTTTGTTTAGCAAGTTTAAGTAACTTCACTTCACCTAATTCAAGAAGCTCTCTCATTTTGTGGAAATGTATGGATTATTTGAATAGTGATATACAAAACTCTTGTTGACTAACCTATCTGTTATGCCACAGATGCAGTTATTTATGACTGTGCTATATAGGTGTTGTAAAAATATAATTTGTACAATATCTGCCCATCTAAAATGCTAGCAGTTCAAAATAGTTCTGAAAACTTTGTTCCATCTTTTCAGGCTAGAAAGGGAGTATCTCTCTGTAAACAAACAGCTAAATGAAGAGCTAGAAGAGAAGAAGAAAGTAATTACAGACTTTTCAGAGAGACTCCAGGATAATGAAAAAAGTTACAAAGAATTACAAGACGAACTTTTCCTGGTAAGAGAGATGCCCTGAGGCATTTATTTTATTGGTCCAGAATATGATATATGTGTTGCTATGTTAAAAAAACAACAGCAGCAGCTATCTGTCTTTAAAGTAAGCAATTAAAAGCTTCTCGTACTATCCTTGTTTTTCCTTTAAAACCTGTTACTCTTTGTATAGTGTGTAGACGGGTAACCAAGATCATTCTTCTGATCAGTGAGCTTTATCGGTGACTGTGTCCCAAATATGGTATATACTTCATCTTGTGAATGCAATCATATGGTCATGCATGGAGGTTGATGTTCAGTGAATATGGCAGCTAGGGGCCAATAAAATTCATGTTGTATCTACATGGAAGGGCAGAATGATGGATTATTTTTGTCCTTAGGTGTAGTGATTATAGAGTTATTAGCTGCTTTCCTTTTTGCGTCACCAGGCTATATGTTTTATTAGGGGGACATCTGAAACCTCGACATCTGAAACACTCTAGCCGCCTAGAGTGGTCCTCACCGACCAGATAGGCAGAGTATAAATTAAATAAATAAATATGTTTCAAATGCTTGCAAAGTTGCTGCCTGGAATAATTGTAAATTATGTAATAAATGATGATACTGTGCCCTGTCCAGCACAGGTGTAAAATAGGTAAAGTACAGTGGTGCCTCGACTTACAACTGTCCCTACTTACGACCATTTCGAGTTATAACCAGCTCCAGCTGCAAAATTTTGCTTCGACTTGCATCTGGAGCTTCCAGTTGCGACAGAAAAAAGGCAGGGGAAAATGGTGGGGAATTCAAATTTCTAACTGTAGGTGGCGACGAGTCTGCTTCTTTGTAGCTCTTTCGCCCCAGCAGTTAGAGAGTGTGCACTCAGAGGAGGCTGCCTGGTCAGGTAAAGTGCTGTTTTGTGCTTTTAAAAAACTGTTGCAGCATGGTTTTGGGCTGGGGGGTATGTTTCTGTGCTGTGTTGTTTTGTTTTTTGGTGATTTTTTTGGAAGCCCCAGAGCGCCTTCGGGGCTTGCTTTGCTGTTTATTTTTTAAAAGCCCCAGTGATGGAGCTTGCTGTGTGCTTTATTTGTTTGTTTGTTTGTTTATTTATTTATTTATTTGGTTATTTGGTTATTATTATTATTTTTGAATGGATTAATCACATTCCAATGAATTCCTATGGGAAATGGTGCTTCGACTTACAACCATTTCGAGTTATGTCCATCTTCTGGAACGGATTATGGTTGTAAGTCCAGGCACCACTGTACTGTATTTTTCTATGTATAAGATGATACTTTTTTCTAAAATCTTTAGACTAAAAATTGAGGGTCGTCTTATACACGGAAGTTAAGCAGTGGAGCTTGCTGTGTGTTTTATTTTTTATTTTTTAAAAGCCCCAGCGACGGAGCTTGCTTTGCTGTATATTTTTGGTTTGTTCAATTTTTTTTAAAGCCCCAATGCCTTCCGACTGGGCTTGCTGTGTGCTTTATTTATTTATTTATTTATTTATTTTGGTTATTATTATTATTTTTTAATGGATTAATCGCATTCCAATGAATTCCTATGGGAATTGGTGCTTCGACTTACAACCATTTCGAGTTAGGAACAGATTCAACAGGGACTCCTAATGTCTGAGCGTTCTGAGCCCAGAGGCTCAATACTCAAAGCTAAGTTTTCTTAATTTTGGGTTAGAAAAGTGGGGGGGGCATGTTATACATGGGGGTATTTTATAGATGGAAAAATACGGTATTTAGCTTTTCTGTCATGATTTACAGAATCTTTATAGCCGTAAAAGGCTTTGGATCTAGCTGTCTCAGGGACTGGCTGTCTTGTTATGAACCTGCCTGGACCATAAATATGTTTAGGAGGTGCCTCCTTAAGAACACCAAATTGCAACAGCCTGCTTAATAGGCACGAAGGAGAGGGCTTTGTCCTGCATGGCTCCCACACTGTTGGATGTACCCCTGTCAGAAGTGCAATCCATTTCCACTCTCACTGCTTTTAGAAAGGGTGTACAAACACAGCTTTAAAAAACTGGTTTTCTCTAGTCTTTTTAAACTGTAGGTTCTGAGTTTTCTTTGTAAACTGCCCAGAGTAGTGTGTTCACTGGAGGGATGATATAAAAATCAATCAATCAATCAAATAAATAAACGAATAAATAAATAATAGCTTTTAATTATTTTTATAGTGGGATTGGTTTTATTTTATTTTGATGATTTTACAGTAATGGTAAGCTGTCTTGAGCACTGCTTTATAGTGAAGTATAAATGCAAAATAGTAATGATGATGATCATGACTGGCAGTTTTAATTGCATTTCTTTATGACTCTTTGTGTAAGCCACCTTGGTGTTACTTGTACCTATGAATAACTTTTTAGTTACCACTTCCATCATATCTTTCTCAAGATGGTAGCAAGTTACTAGTAGCTCTGTTGCTTGCACCTATTGACTTTGAAGCTCTTGTATTGTTTTAATTTAGGAGGCCAGTAGAAGTAACATGACAGAGGGGACTTTGTATCCCCTAATGGACCAGCATCCACCAAATTCAGGTTTGGGAAAAGTGCAGAGTGAGACAGACGAAAAAGCCAAGAACGCTTTATGAGAGCAGGTTATAATATTTGGTATTTGTATTTTGAAAGTGAGGGGTGTGACATGAGAAAAATTATGTCTAACACAGACATAGGTGCCAGGGATGTCTTCTTTTTTTCAGCTTTACTGGACCACTCCAGGAATAGAATCAGCAATGGCTGAATGAAGCCCAAAGAACAGGACAGCTAAAACAATATTTCTTTCTTTGCTATAGTTAAACTAGAAATAGGCTACCAACCATGAGATGGTGGTAGTTACAATTTGGGTGGGTTTAAGGGGTGATTTGACAAATTCATGAAAGATAAGGCTACTAGTGGTGAGCAAACGTCTGTATACAGTATAACCAGTGTTAGAGAAAATGTGTTTCTCATGAGTGGGAGAGTACTTTGGCTTTCATATCCTGCTGTGGGCTTCTCTTTGGCACCTGATTGACCACTGTGAGAACAGGGTGCCGAATTAGATAGACCCTTGACCTGATACCGTGTGCCTATTCTTAAGCATAATTTTGTATCATAAACAAAAAGCTACTTTATTTAAATTGACTGGAAGTACTGCATAAGAAAGAAATGGCCAGTTATGATTAGACTTTCCAATATATATTACATTTTTGTAGTACATTAATTCTACATTGGTGAAATCTCTTAAGATTTTCCCCCTAAGAAAACTGTTTTTATTTTTGGCTTGCTCAAAGGACTTTTTAGAGAATGCCTCATTTCTGGTTAGAGTTGTCTGCTCAAAGAACCTTTTGTGGATCAAAACATATTATGTGTTCTCTTGCTATTTTATCTGCCCAAACTGGTCTTAAACCTACCTGTGATCTCATTTGCTGACCATAATTTTTATACAGTACTCTCAAAGGGATAGTTACTTCTTTACTTCTTCATTAGACTATTAAGTGTGAAAGCAGTTTAAATTCACATACTATTAAGACCAGTGGGGGACCATTACAATTATCTAGTCTGACCTCATATGCACACAGGTTATAGAATTCATCCAGGTTGGATTAAAGTGTATCTGAAAGATAAAACTCTTATTTCAATATAGAAACTCCATGTAGCATTGAACTGACTGTCTTGTTTGGTAAGTGGTTCATTCTTTGTAATTGCTTACTAAGAGTGGGAAGAAGTTGGCTTCAGTGTATTAGAATTCATTCCACACTTCATTCCTTTAGTGATAAAGGCTTTGTTGTTGTTGTTGTTTAGTCATTAAGTTGTGTCCGACTCTTCGTGACCCCATGGATCAGAGCACGCCAGGCCCTCCTGTCTTCCACTGCCTCCCAGAGTTTGGTCAAATTCATGTTAAGGGCTAATATAGATAAAATATGACACAATCATGGCTAAGGGGGTGAGCTGGACCATGGAACAAAGTACTTTCTCTGCTTCCCAGTGGAATTTTTTTTGATAGTATTAATCATGCTTAAAGGTCACGTTCTTCTTCATGGCCTCTGAATCCACACTAATGGGTTTAGTCTGCGCATGCTCAGAGGCCTCAGAATGTTCTGGAGCTAAAAAAATCGCTAGGACTGCCCCCCATAGCCCACGTGGTCCACCCCGTCCTAGCGGTTACCATAGTTCCATTTCTTCCGCTGCATCGGAGGTCTCCTTCTTGGCACTCTCTTGTACTGGAACCTGGAAATTACGGAAAAAAAGAAAAGACTTCGCATTTTTCGCTTGATCATCCTACCATTCATATTTTTCTTCTCCTTATAAATAAAAAAATACAAATCTAGTTGAAGTTCTTAGTTCCCTCCCCCATCCAAGTTTCCCTTCCCACGTTTATGGCCCCTAAAGTTTCATTCAAGAGTTGCGTCTTCTGTTCAAAAAAGATTCCAACTACCAACGGCCACAGACTTTGTTTGTTCTGCTTGGGTGAAACCCATCTACCTTCGTCCTGCTCTTATTGCAAAAGCTTTACTTAGCAGGCTTGGAAGTTGCGAGAGCAGCGGCTGCACGCCTTTTTGTGGGGGAAGCCCCTCCAACCTCCTGGCATGGACTCCTCTTTAGCCCCGTTAAGATCCACGGCTTTTCCCATGGCAACTCCCATCCAGTTGTCCAAATCTAGATCGTCTAAGATCAAGTCTAACTCCCATTCGGAAGCAGCTACAAAACCTAAGCCGAAGATTTCCTCTTCTAAATCGAAGAAACCTAAGTCTTCCTCTCCTTGTCAGTTAACACCTCAGCAGTCCACCCTCCATTCTGTGGCTGATCTCGAACCCGACAAGGACTTTATGCCTTTGGCTCATAGGGAGCCTCCATCCCCACTGCTCGCGGTACTGACTCTTCTAGCTGATGCCTTGGCCGAGGTACTGTTGGATCAGTCATCGATACCGGCTAGCCTTGGATCACCACCTGGTTTGTGATCAGAGATGGGCTTGGGGTCCCCATGCTTACTGGACTCAGTTACAGTTAAAAAGAAGAAAAGGATAAATCCCGCCGTGTCGTGC